ATTAGCGTGTTATTTTAAGTCATCTCAAAAAGTCAAAATGTTAATAATTTTTACGAATTTTCACGATATAAGGGAATTGTTTGGTATGTCAAAAAATACAACAATTCGAGTCCGCTACTCTTCTAAGAGACTCGAATTCCTTTTTATTACCTTTACATTACATCGGGAAAAAAGTGTGTTACACGAAATATACACAAAATGTTTAAAAAGCTATGACTTTATGAAACGAAGAATATATCTATCTGGAATCTGGACTTATTTTTGATACTGACTGATCGGAAATTAGCCGCGCCTTAGAGAATATGCAAGAAAAATTGTCGGCCTGTCATAAGATTTTGTCACTTAAGTTTTGATATAGTTTCAAATTATACTCCATCCAAAAAAATTAAATTTGGTTCAAATCAATATTTCATAAGAGGTCTATTGCACACACAGAAACCCCCCTCTCGTACGCCTTTGTCAAAAGACCCACACATACGTATACTATATATGTATTTCTGCTAGTCATCAATGTCAGTTAAAACTATGAAAGTCGTTCATTAAAAAAACTTTGTTAATTTATTTAAAAATGTTATGTGGCACCGCTACCTCATTAAGTAACAGCAGTGCGTATGCGTGAATTCCTGTATGGAACAACAAAAATTCGCATAATTTGCTGGCGAAAAGTTTTGCCGTTAATTATTTCACATTTTGCACATGTTCGCCCGTGTAAAGTTGTGTAAATTTGCGTAATTTGTATGATTTAATTATTTGCACTTAAAATCATTATTACTCTCACATATATTTTACATTTAAGCACTTACATATACTAAGTAGTTATGTAAACATGGCGTATGGGGGTATATGGAACCGCACTAAAATATTGAACTTGCAGTTTTGTGTTTGCATTGTTTCACGTCAAAGGCGTCGAAGCTAGTGTACATGTCTGGCTGGCCATAGAAACACAGCTCGAATTTCACCAAATACGCGGTCATCAGCAGCAAAATTTATGATGACGTAAGCGCAACTGAAAATTAATAAATGTTAAGTGTGAGTAATTTAAAGCAGTTTATTAGCAATATATGCAGTTCTTTGAGCGCGTCTCACTTCAGTGACTAGAATAAAACAGTTCTTCAAACTCATTTTTTTCTTTAATTAAGCACCTCCATAAAAAATATTAAAGCATGGAAAGCATAGTTCAAAATTATTGTTTTAGCTTTTCATTTTCATTCCCTATTGAACTTTTGTGGCGACATCAATAAATATGACAAAAATGTTGTTTGTTATACGCTGCAGTGTAATGGCGACGACAAGGCGAAAGGCAAACGTCAAATATACAGACAAATACAATTGTAGAGTTAAAAACAAGAACGGAGCCATAAAGTCAGCAGCCAGAAAGGCAAACGGCGACAGGGCGACTGCAGCCGCATTGCCTGAAGTTCATGGTTCATGGCTTATAATATATGCACAAATACATTTATATGCATGAAAACATATGGATTTATGTGGGCGAAATGCCAGCGAAAGCAAACTGAACTATGTTCTCAGTATTTTTGTTTTTCGATTGTTTGCTTGTTTCAACACAAAAACCGATGCCTAACCATAGGGACACCGAGCAACAAACCAATTGAACACCAACGGATTCACAAGCCAACTGTGCGCCACCCAATTGACCGAAAATAAAACAAACAATAAAAAACGAAAGTGAAAACAAAAAAATCGAACTCGACTATTGGCAATTAAATCGTTGCTCGTGCTATATACCATACAACAATGCAAACAAACACAAAAATTGCAATAACAGCAAAAGCAATAACACTAAGCAATACAAATACAACAAGAGTAGGAAAAAGGCAAATTGTTTGGCCAAAATAACTTTACAAAACGATTTCGTTGCTTACTTGAAAAGTTGCCAATTTCAGATAAACTCTTTTGTGTGTTTGTAAATATGTGCAAATGTCTTTGTGTAGCAATGAAAGCGCTTTCACACACACATGTAAACAGTTTAGCAAGAATAGCGCGAAAAAGTAGCAAAAAGCTGCAGACTTGCGAATTTTTCCCACATTCACCGGTAACGATATACGGGTATTTATTGATTGCAGTTTAAGTGAGTAGACTCACGAGTATACTTATGTATTCACATACATAACATGCATATGTATTATTATTCTACTGGTCCGTTACATTGGCGTAAAAATGAGTGGATAATAGGTGAAAGCTACAAAAGCTAAGTGTTTGTACGTGTCACTTGTTTATCTTAATGTACTGTAGATATAATATTTACTGTTTTGGAAAGAAATGTAAGATAAGGAAGTTTTTGCAAATAATTTATAAAATGTCACACATGAAAATTGTATGTCGGAAAAATACTAAAAGCTAAATCCTTCATGGAAAATATGAGCATAATAGAAAAGTATAAACTGTCTTTTGATATAACTTGAATTAAAAGAATTTGATTTGAAAATTACCAAGAAAATTACAGATAGAAGTAGACTAGATTAATTTTAATTCTGAGACAGCAATATCATCATTAGTGAAACTAAAACTTGTGGCAGGGGATGTGAAACTTTTTTACTCTTTTTAATTACTACATAATTATAACACCTTTAAGAATATATATGATACTCATTCAAATACCTTATTTTTTCCAAAAAAAGCTAAGGAAATTCACTTAAAGCACTTACTTATTTAAAAAGTTCATAAATTTCCTTTAATAAATTTTAATCACTTGCTGTAACTCTACATTAGCTAATTTTTTGTTTTATCTGAAAACCAGGCCTAGGCTTTAGATGTCGCCAATAACTTTAATTTTTAAAATAATTAGCCTTATTTACCAAAACAAGACATTAGAGAGGTGCAGTGAGAGTGTTAAATGAAATACGAAAAACACCTAAAGATATGCTACACCTACGACCAGAAAATGTTAACAGTTCAATCTCTCTAATTTTTAACTTTTTGATATTTCATTTGTATTTGCATTTGCAGTCCAGTATTTTTCGATAATATTTTCGATTTTTTAAGCCATTCTGAAGAGTAATTTTTTTTTACCAAGAAACTTAATTTTCAAGTGTTGGCTTATCCATCATATTTGAGATGTAGAACGTTTATAACGAAGCAAGAGCTGTCATAATTCAGTTTAGATCATCCTTTTCAATCCTATGGCAAAGGCTAATAGCTCTATCATCCCAACTTATTAGAAATAGTAAAATACCCTTTGCTGTGTCTTTTTTTGTGCCTAAGATATCGTTGCAATGTCTCCTGAACCTTTTAACCTTAGATTAAACAGACGAGAAAGTACATATATAAGTAGTGGTCTCAGCTATACTTGAATATAAAATAAATATTCAAATCCTTGAATCTAGCTCCAAGCTTTAATTAGTAACCACTTGCCTTCTTTGCCAAATCTGATATGCTCCGAACTTATACTTGTAGTCCGATTTGGATTTAAATATATTAGACATTTTCCGTTCTGCTCAAGAATATGATGATGAATTCTCTCCAATTTGAAACTATAATAAAAAATCGATTATCTTCATGAGGCATTGCAAACCATCAAAGCAAATGAATAAGAGACGAGTCCATGACACCCACTCACTCATACGAGTATGATGCTCATCATGGTAAATATTAACTCTACAGTCAGAATGGTCATTTAAAGTCAAACCAAACTTTACCTCCCAAATTACTCTACAGCATGTATATTCTGCCCGGACGTTCTAGATATCATATATTCATTTGCACATCATGTGAAAATAGGCTGAGCGTTAATTTGGTAACTGTATTTAAAATTTGGTTGTATACACATATGTGTATATACAACTGTACAACTATGTAAGCATGCAAGCATTTAAATTATCCCAGCTTTTGCTGCAGTGTCCTCATTTCATTCACTTTTACTGTTTGCTGTCACAACTATCACTGAATTTTAATTAAAAATTTGTAATGGTCAAGTTTTGAAAATGGGTTATTTAAAATTTCATGTCGATTGCATGACGACTGACTCTTGTGAGCACTCAACACGTTAGCATGCCGTAAGTAAGCTAAGTACGATAGCGGTAAGATAGGAACGAGTTAATATACAGACGTCCTATCTGGCATACTTACCGCATAAAGAGCCGATATGGATACTCACATACCTATATGTATTTGTTGGTATGAGCTTTAATAAAATATCAACGAAAGGGTGAAAGTTCTATGGAGCAGTTCTATGGAACATTGTATACTTTGTATTTTTGGTTTAAAAATACTCATTGGTACTTCAATTAAGCATCAATTTTTTTTATTTTTATTAATTTTTACAGTCTCTGTTTTAATATGGTATTGACACAATACTACAAATAAACTCCAGCCCACATTTTAGTATGAATATTCGAGTTTTACGGTATGTGTGGGAGATAAACATTCAGCTGTGCTTTTTGTTGATTTTTTTATATTTTTTTATTGGTCAGTAACTGGTAAAAAATCCCATTGCAAAATTTCCTATTGCCCACGAAAGGAAAAAACACAATAGAACATATAGTAAAAGTTTCTAAAGGAAATAAAACTCTACTGGCTAGTAAATTGAAAGCATTGCATGAATATATGCCATTATAAAAAGTCAATACTAACTGTCAATATGCCAGATGAAAACGCAATAAGAGCTGAAGTTGTCAGATTGACGTTGACGGCGAACTATTCTGTAATGTAAAAGCTTTCGAAAACCGTAAAAATTACTTTTTACACAAATAAAAATACCAAATTAAAATTGCCTAGTGCTCATACTAATAAAAATACATTTCACTCTTACTATCCATTCAAATATTCCTACTAGTATATATGTATATCAATTTTCAATAAAGAAAATTATTTTACTGCACCTTATATGCACATAAACCACATATTTTTTATATTTCAAGCATATTTCTGGATTAATAGCTGTTTTTTAAAAACTTAAGAAAATTTTCCTTCCAAATTTTAAAAACTTGAGCTTACACACGAAGATTTTATACAGTTTAAAAATAAATATATTTTATTTTACTCACCTCATATCTATTGTGGCTGTTTCTAAAATATCAAGGATAGAGAAGAATTCTGGAAAAAATAATAAAAAAAATGTGAAGAGACTTTACAAAAATAACATTTATTGGAATAATAAAAAAAATATAAACTTAATGTGCTTCTTTAAAGGGTTATATAACTTGTGAATTTCAAAACCTTGATTTTTTAGCTTATAGTATATCGAATGTGCATATATTTGAAAATATTTCCTGATAATTTGAAGGTGATTCCGCAAATAGTTTCGGTTATATTAGCGTATGGGTAAGAATATTTTAACTTAGTATTATCGGCTGCCAAAATTGTAAACGTGTTTTTTCTCGAAACGCTGTGTTCACAGTTTTGAAAAATGCTTGGTGAAATTTACACTTGACCTTCTTAGATATATTTGTCATGTGATGATCGAAGAAGTCAAATTTTTGATTATAATTTCGATTTTTTATGCACTCTTAATTGTAAATTTTTTTCAAAAAAACACTCTTTTGGGGTAACCGTCATTTTGTCAAAAACCCAAGTTTTCTCTAACCCTTCGATCTTTACCTGTGCTCATCTATTGTAATAAGACATTTTTTGGTTTTAAGATTTGAGATAATTTTAAACAGAAAAATCGTTCTCACCGCCAGACACATGTTTTTGGAGGCTTAAGTACATCAAATTCAATACCGAAATGTTAATCTTTTTAACTTTATTTATTAAATAAAAGGCTTCTTCAAAATACAAAAAAAAAAATAATAAACGCGTTTTTTCTGACTTGCAAATGGATATAACCCCTTAAAGCATATTTTAATATATAAATTGATTTGTAAAAAAAAATTTAATATTTACGCGTTTCGTATTTTTGCTCAAAATTATACTAAATAAATACAAAAATACGACTATATTTAACCTCATTGATAACTTCAAAAGAAAGGATATTTATATAAGAAAATAAACCACGGAATCCCAAAAGCAATTTAAAATATATTTATAAAACAAATCTAAAATTTAAAATTTCTCAAATAATAAATAATAATAATGTCATGTAAATTTCATACCTTTCTTTAAATATGCGATTTTGCAACAATATTAAGTACCGCGCCCAAATGTAGGCAACATATTTTATTATTTAAAATTTACTTAAATTTAAATAATTCAATAAAAAAATGCGACATTACGTTTCAGTATACAAATATACATCTGACATAAAAAGTCGATAATTTCGATCACCTATGACACCTAGAGCACACCACTGCGTATGAGTGACAATATTTCACACATCATCCAAACTGAAAGTGACAGTGCAAGTGGATAGGATCACTCAATGCAACAACAAATGTGCGCGACGAGACATTGTTGTTGTTATTTTTGTTATAACAAGCTGTCACAAGTGACTGTCACATTTACTGCCAGCAAATATGTACGCATGCGAGTATAAATAAGAATACTAGATGCATATATAAAGCTGCAGTTAAATCATAGCGCGCAGTTTAAGTGTAGAAGGTGCCTCATGCCACACACTGCCAATCCAAAAATGCTCAGAATAATGGCCAGGTCGCCAACAACACCCGCACAGAAATTGCTGGATTTATTATGCGTTAGCAAATGTGGCATATATACTTGTATATGATATATGTTTGTGTGTACAAATGTAGCAGTTAGTTGCTATTTGCTGCTCATATTGCGATATTAGCCGTTATACAAATGCTATGTAGTGTAAAACTCTGTCTGTTGTTGGCAATGTTTTTGTTTTTGTTGTTGTTGTTGTTTGCTGTTTGCTGCCATCGGCCTGTACACTGTCTATTAACACAAATTCTGCTTGCACATCACATTCGCAACGCACAACATGCACACACTAAGCTGGCATTTGCCGCTAAAAGGATAAAAAATGTCATCAACAACAACAAAAACAAGCAGCAATGTGGTCAAAGTTAGCAAGGCACCCGTAAAACTACCAACGGTTGAGTCATTTAAGCATATAAATTTACTGGCTTTTGGCCACAACAGCTGTTACTGTGGCTACAGTGAAAATGCAATTATTGTGATTATTGTTGATTATTGTTGTTGTTGTTTTTGTTGCTGCAACTACCGTTAATGTTAATTGCAATCACACTAGCATGCATATATTTTTATAGCTGTAGAGGTGCACATATTGTATGTTCATATTTGTGGTGGTCGTGTTGCTATTGCTACCCTTTGATATAGTTGCGGTTATGTAAAAGCGTTGTAAATTGTTTTGCGGCTTTGTAGCGTGCACTGTATTTAATTAGACCAAAATGTTATATAAACGATATGATTTAAATATAATAGCAATAAAACTGTCATATATATGTATGTAATTAAAATGAGTTGAATGTTATAGAGCTATTAAAATAATGAGGTTGAAATAATTTTTGGACGCTGAAGCAGTTGTTTTTATATAACAAATATATGTGAAATTGTATATAAGAAAAAAACTTTTGATGACAAAAAATTTGCTTAGTTAATACAAAATACAAGGCATTACATTTCCTACCTTGTGAGACCACTACAGCAGCTTTTTTGATAATCAGATTAAGATTTTCACTTTGATCTGCTTTTATCTGTTTTACAAAACCCATTGCTCTTAATACTTAAAGAGTTAGACCAGTCTAGAATCCTCAAAAAATGCTTAATATTGAAAATCTTGTATTCGAGCAAGTAACAAAAATTCGAATTTCTCTCATTCAGGCTTTATTGAGCACGTTTTCGAATGTATAAAAAAAAATGTTATTAAGATTTTGTTATTTATCTTGACAACCATTTTTCGAGCATCAGTTTGTATGACATCTATATGTTATAGTGGTCCGATTTAAATAATTTATTCGTAAATCATAGTATTGCTTTCCGCAATAATGCATGTCAAATCTTATGAAGAAATCTTGTCAAATAAACAAGTTTTTCATACAAGAACTTGATTTTGATCAATCAGTTTATATGGCAACTGTAAGCTATAGTAAACCGATCAGAAAAATTTATTCACAAATTATAGCGTGAAAGAATAATCTGCGCGAAATTTCGAAAAGATATCTGGCCAATTAAAAAGTGTTGTTCCATATTTTCAATAATGTTTTTTCATATAAAAAATAAAATGCTTTATTCAAAACTTTTAATATTCCAAAGATACATATTTTACAAAGATTTTGTGAAAATTTCAAAGGCAAATATTCAAAACTCGGTCATTACGACGTCATTTTCGGCAGTCCCACGGAAAATAGGTGCTTCCGCGTTGACAGCAGAATTTCTGACAGGTTTAGAAAAAAGTAAGAAGAAGAAAATACGTGATTGAACTAAGACTATTAACTAGGTATTGAACGGGTAAAAAACAAATAAAGTAAAATTTGTATTTTTAGCAGACGTTTTTACAAAAAAATGCAAATTTCGGTGAAAATTTTTCGACATTTTTTAATAGTTAAGGCCCTTTAAGACCGCTACTTTTAAAAGCTGTATCGCCAAAAATATTATTCGTCTCAATTTAATCAATATACAGATATAAAAAAACAATAAAAAAATCGATTTTTTTGAAGCCTTGAAACCCCTCGTAAACTCTTAAAAAGCAGAATGTATAATTATACAAAATGGCTCAGATAACATAAATAACCTCAAGAAAATTGATTTCACACTCCAAATAAATTAGGTCCTGATAAATTAAATTTGCACAATCAACCAATCTTATATAGTAATATTCGTTTCTCACCCGCCATTTTAAAAACCAGCTGTGAAACAAAGTATTGAAAATCGCAATATTTCCTAAGCGGAAATTATTTTAATTACATTAAAATATTTTATACATGCATGTACAGTATTTACTTGCAAATTCATTTCATACGCACGCATTTTACAGTTCAATGCCTTAAAAGCTTCAATAATCATCAATATGTACACATGCTTTAACGCACGCACAATAATCGAGAAAAGTAATGCGAGTGCATCCTTGTATATTAAATTTTATATTCACACTACAATTTATACACACACACACGTGTAATAGTTGGTTATATTTGGACCAAATGCCGCAATAAACACTTCACACGGTATTTAATGTTCAGTTGCTTGTCTGTATGTAAGTACTCAAAGCAAGGTATGTATGTGTTTGATGCACATTTTTCCACTTCAACTGGCAGCGGCAATTGTAAAAATACAAATACAATATAAAGCACCGAAACAATACCAACAAATCTACTACAAGTATGTACATACGTACATATATATGCTTGAGTGTACTATATGTATATGTGTGTTATTTAACATTACAAGCACGTATGTAGATGTATATTTAAACGTTTATACCGGTTGAGCACTTGTCTGTGTATGTGTGCGGCAACTTATGCCCGCAAATGCGTGCAATGCTTTCACATACTATAATAATTACTTTTGTTTCACCACTACTTTCATACAAACTTACAAACCGCACATACAACCAATAATACACTATATGTACTTGGCAGCTTTTGTTGGCATTTCCTTCCTTCCGTTAAGTGCTCTTCATATTTTTCTCCCTCTTTCCTTTATATATCTGCATACATTTGTATATGCCATTCACATTTATGTTGTTCTTTATACTTTTTGCGACAATTATTGCAAGGAGCTTGCTCACATGACCGGAAAAGGTGAAAGAAATTAAATAAAATATTACAGCCACGACTACTTATGAGTTCAGAGTAGCGTTTACAGCCACAAATAAGGTGTCAGAGCATGCTATCGCGGTAGCTGTGAACGTGTGTGACATACACTGCGCATACTTCCTTGTTAACACACCGAACCAAAAACATAACACAATTTTTTTTTATCAAACTTTTGGGTCCTTCTGGATTATACGCCATGGTTATGTTTCGAAACCCAGCAGCATAGTTTCAAGAATTATCTCTGCGATGAAAATGTCAGGCGTTAAGTGTCCTTACACGTCTACAAAACATTAAAATAATTACCAAATTATCTTCGGCAATCAGAAAAGCTAGATAAATTCCCACCATATGTAAACGAGTTCATTCATTAAGAACACTGGTTGAAAATGTAACCTTGAATATTCGGAACTATAGGCA